GTGTGTGTGTGAAGTGCCAGGTGTGTATATGTTAGTGGGTGGCGTCTGTTGTGTAGTGTTTTGACTTTTGGACTTGTACACGTGAGATTGAGGATTCGGGGGTTCCAAACCTAGATCGGACCAACATTGTGTCCTTGGGAAAGGCACCATATACTAACTGTCCCATTTGTTCGGTTCTATTGGAGATGGCCGTTAAAATTCTCTTGTCCCGCCTCTTGAACAACCTTTTAGGGTTGCAAAGGATGTTAAGGACTAGTGGGGCACCTGAGGTCTATTTTGGTTATTACAAGGCCTAGAGTGCCCATATTTGCTGTGGGACATTGTGTGCTATTGGGGATTTGAAATCTATATTTCAAAAAGTATATTTTGAATCGTTTGCTTTGGAAACGGCGGCCATATTGGATTTTGTATACCTTTTTCAATCCCATTTTATTCCCTTATTTTATTAACCGATTAACTTCTAATTTGGCATGCCAACAGTTAACATATAGGTCTTAAATTTGGCTAGTTGGATTTTTGACATATGCTTTAGTTTTTATTTTATGACACTTACAATTGGGTTGTTGCAAAAAAAAGTGAAAAAAATGGAAAATTCATGCTTTCTAAGCCCATAAATCAAAAACTACTACATTAATCAAAAATTCAGCAAGCCAAAATTTAGAACTAGGTGTTGTTGGCATGCTGTTAAAGTTACATTGAAATTGAACAAGAAACAGGGCAGAAAAATGGGATAATGTGTGAAAAAATAGAATTGTGAGAAAACAGCCGATAAAGGTAAGAACTGACTGGAAAACATCTGCTTTTGCAGAAACACTTGGACAAAAAAGACAGCTTTAGGGTGTAGCAAAGCTTACATACGTTTCTGGATATTGTTCAGGAAATGTCCAGGTACTATAATTTGTAATAACCCCAACTTGCATAAATTGGCCCCAAAGCAAGATTTCTAGGTGCCCCACCAGCCCTTAAACCCATACAATTTCACAATTAGACTTGTTACTCTGTGAGTATGAGAGTAAAATATGTATGTAAATATAATATGTATATTATGTATTCAGTTACAGGGGGGAAAGGGTGTCGGGGGTAGGAATTTAAGAAGGCAATGCGAAAGTAAGTGTATTTAAGTA